GAGGAGACTTCGGGGAGTTAAATAATTTTTAAATAATTTACACCGCTAGAACATTTTCTTTTAATTATCCTGTTTGTTTAAAAAATTTGGTTTGATTTCAGTATGACTCATGTACGTAACCATCGAAGAAACGCTGCAACTGCAATGACTTCATTTTTTTCTGATCTCTACTTGTTTATAATTACATAACAAGAACGATTTATCTCTCAGCAAATTTTGTAGCCTCGAATAACGCTTAGAATTTCGTTTATAGAATAAGCGGGTATTCAACTGATATACAAACATGCAAAACTTGAATTATGTAAAGATTCGTAAAAGATTCCTCTGAAATGATCTTAAGTTTGTTCTGTAACATCTCTAACTCACAGAAGCACAAAAAGGTTTTCTTTATCTTTCGTTAAGCAGAATTAAATAAATATAAAATAAATAGATTTGAAAATAATCTTACCCATCGTGATGAATATCACTTGATAGAAAACATGATCCTTCGAACTGAAGTGCATTGAGGATTAAATGAAAAAAGCATAAACGAGTGATGCATATTGTGTCTGGAGCGCTTATTTACGTACGTTATTAGTTCCTTAATGCAAATCAACATGAAAAGTACAAGTGAAGCTTTTATGGACCTGTGATACTATGTGACCTTATATCTCTATCGAGAACTGATAAGACAAAAGTGGAAAAAAGCTGAAGGAAGCAACCTAGATGTAAATATATCGGTTTTCTCCATCTTCATCGCATACCGCATCCACCGTATAACTTGTCTTGCCTGGTTTGACTAAAAAATGAGCTCGATGACACGCATATTCATATTCATGTTTAGCTTGACAAACCACAATTTTCAAGTAAAAATTTGTTGATAAACATCTGTTTACGTTTGAAAATTACGTTTCTGGTATAAAACGTGATTGGCCCGAATCGCCTAAAAAAGGGCTGTTTAGGTGCTGTGGGAGGTTACACCCTTGTAAGGCTAAGAGCAATTTTCGCTCCATTGTTGCATGTAATCCCCGTATATATGTACCTTGCGTAAATGCCACAGATTCTACACCACGACATCGAATGCAGAGATATCAATTTAACCAAACAAATGTGTCTGTAGGTGTGATTCAAATAAAAGCAAAATAAACACCAAAACGACTAAATAAAACCAAACGATAAAATAAAAACAAAATAAAACCAAACGACTAAATGAGGACTAAAGCGAAGTCACAAACTGGGGCGTATTGATGTCAATTAAACTCGTTTTATAGTGAAATTCCTTTTAGGTCACTCCTGATAACTCGGAGGACGCCTTGAAAATTCTAAAAGCAGGATAAAGTGACCTCTCGCCTGTAATCACAATCAAAGACGATTCTCAAAACGCGCTCGGCGTGATAATTTGGTGCAGGATTTTCTGATAGCGGAGATAAAGGATAAATCTCTGCACGTGGGAGTTTCCATGAAAATCTCCAAAAAGGGGAATATCCTGGCTTAGCCCTTATTCAACTAAAGCCGAGATACATTATTATT